ACATTCTTATCCGTATGATTTAACCGTTTCATATCTTTATGAATTGTTGCAAACCATGTCGTTTGAGGTCTATCCTTTCTCACTTTCTTTGTATCCATTGAAAAGCACATGAAAGACATCGCAGATGTTTTGATTAACTGCGTTAAATAGTAGTCTATGCCCAACTTCATTCCACTACTTCTTCTAATAAAAAGAAGTTATAGTTTAAAACGTTTGCTTGAGTAGTTAAGGCAACAATAGGTAACAACAAACTTATAATATTAATAAGGATATCTTTGAAATGATAAAAGTATCTTATTGTTGTATATATGTATACGTGTGTATGAATAGATTTATCAGCAGAATTCAGCTCAACATGTAACATTCATTTTGGAAGCGGTAACAGTACACAAAATAATTTATAAGCTTTTTAGGATATAATATTGAAGCCTATAAGCGAATAACTATTGCCAGACACTTTGTCGTTTTCATATCTTTTCTGGGAAATGTTGATTTCTACGATGTACATATATATTTCATCAATATTTTTTCATTTCACGTCTTGATTTTATAACTAGTTCTACGTGTGGCTTCATCTTTGTATATGGGATATACTTTCTTAAGCAGCTTGGATGGCTATCCATACCGACAGTCCATCTAATTAAAAAATATTAATCATCGCTTATAGGTAGTAACCTGTAAATAGTAGTAAGTAATAGCAGGCCTGTAGTAACCATCATTTGCTGTACACAGCATTATTCACTAAAACACTTGTATTGACTGGAATAAAAAGTAGCCTATGTGATTTTCTTTATGCTAAATACTGTTTGAATGTGAATTTAATAAAGTTGTTAAGAAGTCAAGTGTTTCAAAGAATCACTGACATTTATTATATTAATAAGGATATATATTTATTTATTATTCACTTGAAAAATGAGATACATGATGTTACACTAAGCATAAGTACATATTCTGTCATATATAAGCATGTAAATGTCGGGACCTTAATACTAATTTTATTTACATTATTTTACTATATTATTTCAGTATGTCAGTGTTATTTGCTATGATGACATATATATTCATATTACAAGTTTCGCTGGTAGTTATTACTCTGGTAGCTTCTAGATTAATCCACAGAAAAATGATTTTTTTTTGCTAGTTGAATGTAGAAAAGGAATGTAGAGAGTCTTTTGCGTCTCTAAGAATTTTTTAAATTTTATCTTCAGTAGATTGGATTCGACGATGTTAGTCAATCAGTGCTCCTTTTATGTAAATTGAGACTGTTCGTGAGTTTGTAATGTAATGTGGCTGTAATATACTATTTCTTTTTTTATTTAATGGAATGGTAACCCCGCCTACTCTAACGGTATATGCTGACTGAGCACCAGTAAGAGATAATAGGTGAAAATAAAGCAGCCCATCATAATAATTCAATAATAAATAAATCACAATAGTTTACAGGGAGAACCGCGAGGAGGTCGACCTGATAGGGTATATTGCTAGCAGTGGGGCAAGTAGATCTCATTGCTAACAATTCCTTTCTCCCTGCTGTAATGTATTAGTGAGCATAGCTATTGTTCGATAAAAACAAGTGATTTTTATACAAAGAGGATTATTCAGTTGATGTTACTTGAGTTTAAGAGGCTACTGTAGTCCATAAATCGTCATAGTCGTAGAATACTGACGGACCTTTATATGTTATCTTTGTCAGATCCGTCAGTATTCTACGACTATGACGAAATGTTTTCGACACAAGAGTGTTAAAATCCTGCTATACCAAATCCTAATTATTTCGTATAAACTATTGATAAAACGGAACTTAACTAGTAAGGAACTTAAGTAAGCGATTATTAATATCTCGAATATAAATGCGGTAGGTACTATTAATGTTAGTATATTGTTTATTGCCATTTTCTTTTATCGAAATATTCACGTTTGCTATTATAAAACAGTGGCAGTGGTGTGCATATCGGTTGGATAAGAGTCAGGATTGATTAATAGTAGTAAACAGGTCGTAAAATTTAAATAATATTTATGTTGTAGTGTTATTTTTGATGATCATAATTATTTATTTGTTGGAGTAAATTGTATGAAATAAATAAAATATATAAGCTATTTTTAATTCTTATTTTACTCATACAAATTTTCACCCCTTTAATATAACGATAAGCAATCCAAGTTTTGTTTAAATTATCACAGAAAATTCATTAGAAAAAAATGGTAATAAACTAAAACATTCAATTAAGTAATTGGTTCTTTATTTTTATTACTATTGGGTTTTAGTAAACTGTCTTATGATTGAGTCAATTATGTTTGTTTACATTCTCATTAAGTTTTATTGTAACGGGTTTATAGTTCGTTAATATTACGACCTCATTGTGGTGCAGACATTTGTCAAAGTTAGTGCGTTATACGACATAAAATATATTAAAATTCGCGTAAAGCTCTTTAACCTCCCAAGGGCACCTATTGTGGGTTACCCTTCCGACATAAAAATCTAAAGTTACTGTACCTTTGTAAAATTTTAAGTTTTTTAATTATTATTATATATTAAGTAAATTCAATGCCATCATATCTTCAAATTGTAAGTTGCAGTGTTATAGAAAAATAGAATAAATAAATACATACGAGTATAAAATCTTCAAACAAAAGTTGTCCCATTCGTGTTTCAACCGTGAAGCAGTTGTGTTTGCATGGCTGTGTTTCGTTTGAGAAAAATAGAATAACATGGCAAATACATACGATGTATAAAATCACGGTGATCAGGTTCATCAGCTTGTTTGTTCTAAGTTGTATAAAAAAAAAATCATGATTTCCATTCTTTAAAAAGTGTTCCATTCGTAAAATTCAATATCTTTCCTAAATAAACACAAGCCGAAAATAGATAAAAATGAGAACTTTCCATACAAACTTGAGTCCTGGATGCTCCGTGTTGCTACAATAGATTTAAATTCTTTTTTGATGTTTTTGAACTTACGTTTCTTAGTTAAAATGGTAAGTAGGTATTAGTGAGTAGTAAAATATTTCAATATCTGTCGATACAGTTTATTATTTCATTATAATCTGTATCAAGGTACATGGATAAGTAAACTAAACAGTGTAACTTCCTATATATGTATGTATGTATGTATGCACTTATAATAACCAAGAAAATATGAGCATATCGGCGAAGCTAGCATATCTTTGTTACACAGGATATTAAAATTCCCCGAATCGTATCTCTAGTGTAGACACTTCTGAGTCGACATAACCGTAAAATCGTTGAAAATCTGCAGTGCGGTGCTCAAGGCAATATTTCGAAATATTTTATGTTATCTTAAAGGTGCTAACATGTTAGGTCTTCTTAACAAGCGTATGTGATAGTGTTTATTAAAAATTGTACTGATAGTGATAATAGGTAACGACCACAGACATAGACGATGCAAGTACCTTAGTTTATATGAAAACTAAACAGGTTACCACTAAACTATTTTATTATTACAAAAGTTATTTATTGTTCGCAATCTCGTTTCTGAACTAATTTTTCTAAAATGTCATCTGCAGGCTGACTTTTGAACATAGCAATCGAATTGGGTTTGATATCAGAAATCACATCGATAAAACGTCAAATTTGACATCTATTCGATGTGATTCCGATTTGATTTCAATTCGATTACATCAACTGTTAGTTTTTTATTTTATTTCTCGAAATTTTTTGGACATTAATAGTAGTAGTAAATGTCGCTGTTGTAAATTGAACTCTGTTGAACTTAATTTACAATATATAATTAAAAGGACGTCTGTGGTAGCGACTTTATACTCGAAGGGCTAATAATGTACACCCTTTCATTTGCATGCAACACGGTTGCAGTAAATAGGTAAATGAAAGAACTGTGGAGGTGTGCAGTTTATTACGTTTGTTTTAAACTTATTTTGCAACAGAAACTTCTATATGAACTATCCGAAGTTGAGCTCTTCAGGTGCAACGAGAGAGAGGATATACGACAGCACAGTAACAGACTTTGCAAGGCGGCGACAGAGTTAGACGCTGGATTTAAGTGTTAGAACGAAATGAGGTTGTCGTTTTACGGGTCTCTAAGTTTATTAAATTACATTATATAATTAGTAGTGGAATTCCGCAGTTTTGCCTGCAAGAACTAAGAGAAAAACTGTCCTGTGTACTGCGTGTTTTAATCCAGGATATGGGCCATTTGTGTACGAAATTTCATATAATTACTTACCTTCAGCCATTTTAGCATGATTAAATAAAACATTAAAGCAGCGTTAAAAACTTTTATATTTATAATATTGTTAGGACAATATGTACAATTGAAATTAATTGTTTATTTTTCTGTTTTTTTTTATTATGTTTAGATTCAATATTCTATTTTTACTCGTCATTATACAAACATAAAATCATTGGTAATTATATAATAATGACAATAAAAATACTTTTTAAGCAGAATTAATTCGAACGAATTTAAGATAATTCGATAAAGCGTCGACACTCTTTAGAATTCCTTAATATTTTCTAGTGGATATCTACAAAAATCACTCAAAACTGAATCAATGAACGGCACAAAGGATTTTGTTCAAAGACCACTTTCACTGGTGGCAGACGTCGGATAAATTTCCAAATAAAATTTCATAAATATTTTTGATATATTCACGGTCAGGCTTTTCATACTTTGCCCGCGTGGCTTATCTGGATTATCTCGGGATTTGGCTCGGATTTTTTTAACTTGTTCGCGTTTGTGCGTCCGCTTATTGCGTTTTATCTGGCGCGTGATTTGCTGTACCACCCGCGCCTGCAAATATGTTTATCGTGCCCTAAATTTGCCTTATATTTATGGAGCTGGCTAGAACATAAAAATAAAGCTAAATAAAGCGAGCAGCCACCGTGGGAATTACTCTTTATTAAAATTTAATATCTCCCGCGCGCCTTTTGTGTTCGAGACCGGTGGACGTTACAATTAAGGGAGCATTTTAATTGAGCCTTTTACAGCGTCCAAGTCTAATTCAAAATTTTTTGTTTACAGGTAAAGCAAAGTGGGATGCGAAAGCGTTGGTCGCAGGAGACACGTGCGTACCATTGAGGCTGTGTGCGTGACAGTGAGGTGGTGGCTGTGTTGGTGGTCGACCGATGTGGTTGAGTGAGTGCTGACCGCTGAGAGTCAGTCGTTGTCATGGTGGGGTCATGGCGTGCGCTGGCGTTGCTGGCCGCGCTACAACTGGCGGGCGCCGTCCCGGAGTCGCTGTATCACAATCAGTTCGCCATACACGTGCCCGGTGGCGCGGAGCACGTGGATGACATCGCGAGGAGGCACGGCTTCGTCAACCATGGACAGGTAATTTCAATATAAACTCCTAAACAGATATAATATGATTCTATTTTATACATAATAGTAATTGTTTTAAATAGTTAGATTATTTAATAAAGAAGAGTAAAAAAATACTGTATACTTCGGTGTAGAGACACAGGACGAACGAAAGCCGTTTTTCCAAGGTTCTGAATATAGATATAGATCATGTAAACGGTGAGGTGCATAAAGGAAGAGTGAACTCCGGTAAGATGGCTGATAAGGATCAGAGAAAATGGAAAATACTGCTTTAGTACTGTACCATTCTTAACTAAAAAGACAAGCGTAAGGCAGTGTGTTTCGGTTTGAAGGGTGGGATATGGCGTGCATTTACACGGTACAGAGGTATAACGCCTGAATCCTCAGGAATGGCAACGCAGGGGGGGGGTATCATGGGCGAAACAGTATACTCTGTTATGTACATGGTACTGCTCATGTCTATAAGCAACGGTTACCACTTTCCATCAGGTGGGCTGTCAGCTTGTTTGCCATTCTAAGTTGTATAAAAAAAACACATAGATGTGTGTATAACAATGTACCATAATTTGCTATTCGTTATAAATGTTTTCAATAAATGATAGCAATCAGATAATATAAGTTCGGGACATACCGCGACATGATTATAGGTAAATAATATTTATCTTTAATCACATTGCTGCAAGTCCTGAACATGAATTTAAATATTTATAAATAATCCAAACACTTAAATATATTGAATGAGATAGTAATTTAACTTAAATTGTATTTAATTCATATCTATATTAATATTGTAAATGGGAAAGATTTGATTGTTTGTTATGGTAAAACTTAAAAACTATTCAACCGATTTTAAAATTCTTTCACCTATAGAAGGCATCTAGCTTTCAACGAGTAACGTGACTCATGAGTAAATTATTTTTGAAAATTCTATCTACGTATGCGAAGTCAGGCCGGTTCGTTAGTATAATATAATCAGAGTGCGAATGACAGGTTAAAAATAACAACTAAAGCGTAAAATACGTATACAAAATATTCGATTGTGGCAAATGATATTCGGTTATGAATATTAGATTCACTTTGTAGCCAAAAACCTTTTACAATACAGTTCTTTTATAGTAAAAACTGGCACAATATCAGCTGTCATATGCACTAAACCGTAACCATAGATAAAATAATAAATATTTTCATTTTTATAGGCTGTAACATACAGTGTATATTACTTGTAATATAAATTGTCCTGGCATTCGATTCTGTTAAGCTTCCGTTCCTAATCGCTGAATACTTAGTCGCTCAGCTTCAGCCACAATGTAATTACTATTCAAGTATCTCCTGTACTTTATCTGTTAAGCTGCCTCGGAAGCATCGTATTATTTCTACTTTTCTCAGGCCGTCCTTTAGTATTCTTATTTGTATAACTTCTACTGACTCTCATACATTGTTTTAAAGGAGCGTTCAACCAGTGAAACTGAAAAAATACCTAAAGAATCATGACCCATGTATATCAAGAATAATAATAAAAAAAATGAATTTGTTAATATGGGAGATATTAACACGGTGATCTATGAGAGTAGTGTGGTTGGAGCAAAATATTTTGTCATTATTTAATTAATGTTAGTCTGTGATTTTTTTTTTATTTTTCTAGTAGACTACTTTGAAAATGAGATTAGCTTTATAAAAAAGCAGAAATTTACCATAGTCTTCAAAGGAGTACCACAATCTAAAGAATTTTCACTTTGTTATTGTTATTGTTGAAACTGTAGTGAAACTATTATATCTTATTGAATAAATTATTCACAGATAGTTTAATTAATTTATACTTTACAGAAACTGTTATAAAATGAAGTTTAGAAATGGTACGGTCGTATTCGATAATTATTTAATAGTTTACATAAAATCTTCACTTTTATAACTTTTTCAACGCTGCAAGTAACATGTCTGCAGCATAAAATGTAAATTATACATAGTTGAAGAATATAAACTCGATGTAACTTAGTAGAGTGTCCGTAACTCCTTATCAAAATCTGAGAGCAAATTCGAAAGTGACAATTTGTCTTTTAGCAGCAACGCGAGGTGACAGCCAGCGGCGACATTGTCACACAGATATACTAAGTTGCGCAGTATCTTTGTAGAGCTCGTCTTCCCGTTTACGTTTCATTGTTGGAGTGCTGCGTGAATAAAATTATTTTTTTCCATAAAATTTTTAATATGTAAGGATTTTTATGTAGTTATAATTTATGATTTTGCTCCAAAAAATATTCTGTTCAGACAAATTTGGTCTAAAACAAACACGGAAGCATAGTTTTTTGGTAGCGGAATTGAACGTTTTAAAAAAGGCAAGTTTGTAGTCTGAATGATGTGTTTTCGTTTATCTATCTTCACCGTCTTCTTTTGTCCCGACAGTAGCTAGTCTTTTGTCTATTCTATTGTTTTATTATGCGACCGGTAAAACAATTGATCAAAGGCAAAACTATTAAAAGAGAATATTTAAATTCGGTTAAGTATTACCTAAGATTACAGAGTACGGATCATAACAGTTTTAATAAAACGTATGAGCGATACTGTGTGCATCATAGTGCATTCTACGATATTCATAGTGACGTCAATGTCTTTTGTTTATAGGTTACAGTTTTTATTGGATGGTATTCAGCATGTTTGTAATTCCAAGTTGCTGAAAAAAGGTATCACGTAACATATGAAGAATTTGTAACATCCTCCTTTTTGAAGTCGGTAGAAAATGGTCCGTTTGAACCTATCAAAGCTTAACGTAAAATAGCTTCAACTATGCATGCCAAACATTGCCCTTTACAGATGCCACTCACTGAAGTATACTCGTATAAAGTTATACGACGTAGATATAGCTGTATATATAAACATTACAAACATGTCCTTCTATATCTATGGAAATTACTAGAATATGCTTGCCTAGATGTTTACGTGTTATGTTAATATTATGTATATCAGTGGCATTTGCATTATCTTCTAGCGCTCGCAAATTCGCTTGTAGATTCGATATTTTATGAAATGCAACTAGAATCAGTTCAATTTCTAACTAATGTGTTCCAAATAGTTTGTTCTTTGTGTGTCTGTGATCAGTTTTATACATTTGTATGGTTATAGTAGTAAGTTTAGGTAACTGGCATCAAAAATAGCTTATATTTTTTTACGTGTATGCCAAATTTCGTGAAGATTCATTCAGCCGTTGAAGCGCAGGAGGTAAAAAATGAAGTCACTTCGATTTAGAATGTTTCGGATTTCGGGTTATGCCCTAGACCTTCGTTCGTTTTTCGTAACGTTCCTTTTCTTTCCACTTTCTTTCCCCGTAGATGTCGAAGAAGACTAAGGGTTAAGCTTCTGGTGAAGGGATAAGCAGCAGAGTCCCTCTTAAAACATCACCAAAAGATAAACTGCGGTTGCCAACCTGCCTGCCAAGCGTGACAACTACTGGAAAAACCTTCTTATGGGGGAGGCCATGTTCCGCAGTGGACAGTTAATGGCTAATACAACAATACGCTGTCATAAAAGTAAAGTCGTGTTTTCTTAAATACCTAGTATTCCAAATATTTAATTTAGTTATTTACTAATAATGTCGGTAGAACAATTCACTATTGGTGTTTTGTTTTTTATACCACTATATTTGGTAGATAAATCTATTTACGACCCCGGCCTGATAGAAGTAGTAAATCTTCACGGGTTAATAGGTTTATGTTGCCGACCTTTTTTCGCACTCTTTGAAGTGCCTTAAAAATCTCTTAATACTAAGGTTCGTTTTTGAAGATCTTCAAAAAATGAGGCCGTTCTCAATTTGTTTTTGTGTGTATATTGCGCGATATGTTTACTAATTCTGAACTAATTTTGATTTTTCTTCTTGGAATTGCTTATCAAGTTTCAGTTTATTTTTAATTATCAGTTTACTTAAATGTCTTTAAGCGATTCCTGAAAGGAGATTCTCGGTTCGTTTAAATTATTTTTGTTAGTATGTTTCGCGGTTACGTTACAAATGTACACAGTTATTTTTGATTCAAGATTTATGAAATTTCACAGAAGGGTCTTCAATCCCGGGTGCATATACTGCTAATAAAAGACGAAAAGTTTCATAGATACATCATCTTGCTAATATGAGTTTAGTTTTAGCAGTGTTAAAAGCAATTCTTTTGGGATTCCTTTAAAAATAAAGTTTCATTTTACCGCCAATATTTGTATTTTACCTCCAACCCGATGGTCCGATGGATTGAATTTGAAGGAAAATGTACGATGTACCGCCCAAGACACGGCCCGTATCTGTTGGGAATACCGGGAATACATGATTCCCATTTCCTGTCACATTATGAGTGCTTGCTTTCTTTATGATGCAAAACAAATCAAATGATTTACTTTAGGGATAGAGGACGAGAGATGTTTTTGTCTTTTGGGTGTCTCAGCTGTACTCTAAATATAGATGCGATAGCTTGTATTTACATCATAAATATAAATATATATACTAACACAGTGCGTGTAAATGTCAACTAGGTAAGGTAAGTTTTTACGTCATTTTACAATCTATGTTCTGTTTGAGAAAATACTCGGTTATTAGGAAAACATTTCCTAAGAAAGATGTTGGTGATTTTGTTTTAATTCCTATATATAAATTCTGCTTACTTCCTAAGGAACGTGGTGTAAAGGTAGATATATTTTTTGTGATATGGACTTGTAATAACAAGTTAAAAAAAAAAAAAAAAAACTATTTCCTTTTTAATTAAAATACTCTTTTTAGTTCATTTTCATTTTTAAAATTTTAATTTATGTTAACAACTAAATATTTAGTTATTTTTGTTGAATGGTAGTTAGCACACATATAATCGTGGGAGGGTAGTGGCACATTCTTATGTTAGAGAGTAAAATGAGTTTTTTGAATATATGTTAGTTTAGTTGTTACTTTGTGTTTTAACCGCTCAACCACTTGTCGTGAAATTTGGTGTACACTCAGTATTTAAGATGAAGGACTTATGTTACTTTTCATCCCGGTTCATTAA